CCACCCGTGCTGCACGGTGCCATGCGGCGAGGACAGCCCGTCCACGCTGACATGTGGCCGCACGGCCCTGCCGTAAATAACTCCCGGCCCCCAGCCCCGCCGGGCTGCCTGTACCTGAGAACGCCCGGCTTGGCTTTGTTTCTGGTAGAAAGCCTCCTTTAAACTACTCCTCGCTTTTCCGCGGGCTGATAGGGGAGCTTGGGGCCCACTGGAAAATACCAGAGGCGAAGCCAACGCGGCTGCTCCGCGGGAGAAACGCCTGGGCCCGAAGCGGAGCGGGAAGGCCACGAGCAGCAGGGCTGGCGCTGCCTCGTGTGGGCCCACCCTGAGCACAGCCACCAGCTGCAGCCCGCTCCCAGCTCGGGATGGGATCGCCGAAGCAGTGCTGGTGTCGGGGTCTCGTGGCCGCAGCACGCTCGCTGCAGGGCCGCGCAGCATCCCTGGTGCGTGACCTCGGGGGAGCGGTGCCAGGGCTCTCAGGGCATGTCGGTGCAGGGCTGCGTGCTTGCGTAACCTCCCCGCACGCAGCACGCCCAGCTCCGCGCCGTGCCTGGCCGCTCGCCTCCATTTTGTCTTCACCCACGCGGGGCACGCGACGCCCGTGGAGCTCGGCAACCCTTGTGCTCAGCAGCCCGGGGGGCTGCCCAGGGAGGGCTTCTCGGCGAGGAGGCCGCTCCCCGTGCCCATGCCCGTGCCCGTGCCCCTGCCTGGTGCTCTCCCAGCGCAGCGAGGCCGGGCAGCACGTGGGGACCCTGCAGCCGCAGACACGAGGCCCAACTGGGGGAGCGGCCGGCTGGGGGAGCCGGGAGGGGCGGCCCCGGGGCGCGCTCCCGCTGCCAGCCCCCCGCCGCCCCTCAGGTGCCGGCGCTGCGCTCGCACGCGGGGCGGGAGCGGGGCCGGGGCCGGGGCCGGGGCGCGGCGCTGGCGCGGGGCCCGGGGGAGCCCCCGGCGCGTTGCGGGGCGGCGCGGCCGCAGGAAGCGCCCATTAGCGCGGGCCAATGGCGGCGCCGCGCTGTTACCGGGCAGATCTGGCCGCCCGCGCCCGCCGGCACAAAGGGCACCGGACACGGGGGGGAGACCCCCAAGGGGCTCGGCGGCCCCCGGGGCGCGTCCCAGCACGGAGCCGCCCCGCACCTGCCCGGCCGGGGCCCGCCCCGCCGCTACCTGCCGGGGGGGGCGGGGGCGGCGCCTTAACGGCCTCTTAACGGCTTTCTAACGGCTCTTAACGGCCCTTAACGGCCTCTTAACGGCCAGGGGCCGGTCCGGGGGACCGAGCCCGGGGCTGCCCGTCAGTCAGTCAGTCAGTCCGTCAGTCAGTCAGTCTGTCCGTCTGTCTGTCAGTCTGTGCCCTCCGTGCCGTGCCGCCCCCCTCCCGCTGCCGGTGCCGGTGCCGGTCCCGGTGCCCCCGCCCCGCTCCTCCCCAGCCCCGCCCCCGCCGGCACTTTCTCATGACGTCACCCCGCCCCGCGCGCCGCCGCCGCCGCTGACAAAGCCGCGGGCGCGCGCATTCCTGGCGTGCCGCCGGGCCGCGGGCGCGCGCCCCTCGCCCCCGGGAGCGCGCTTCGCCTCCCGGCCCGCGCACCTGCCGGCGGGCGGCACCGCCGGGGCCGGCGCTGCTGCGAGGGGCGGGCGGGCGCTCCTGGAGCCCGTAGGGATCGCTTGGCCCTGACCCAAGGGCTGTAATTCTGGGTTGTAGTTCTGATAGTTCTGACCCGAAGCACAGATGACAAAATGATAAATTCGCAAAACTCAGGCTTTTTTTTTTTTTCCCGAATTCAGTGGGAGCATTACCTCCACCACCAAAGGCAGCAGGATCGGGCCTGTAACACCGAACTAGTGGCTACAACCAAACAAACCCGCAGCGCCTGGGTCTCTGCTACCTTTTGCCTCGTGTGAGCACCTTTCTGTGGTGGATGCAGGGTGCTGCCATTTTGCACCAACCCGGCGGAAAATACAGAAATGCAGACACCAACATGGGGCGACAGGCCGCGGGGAACCCCGTCTGCGTGTTTCCATAAATCAGCAGGGGAAGTGAAGAACTGAAAGCCCTGACAGATGAGATTATGGCCCTATCAAACACTTAAGGAATATTCATGCCTAATTTGATCTCCTTGTGGTAGCTGGTATTCTGTACGTGCTTATTTTAAAATAAAAGAATATGGGATACTCCGTGAAACACACACTCCTACAGTTACATCTCTGTGTGCTATTTATCTTATATTTACCATCTGTAGGGTAGCTGTGTGTCCCCTGTGGTTACTTCTTACCTGTCCCACTAGCGACAGGCAGAGAATGCAAGGTATGATAACAGCCTCCCACTGAACTCAACTGAATGTCTTTTGTTGGCTAATTTTCATTTGGGTTTACATCACTTAGTAAATTGCTCAGATTTACAACCTTAAATTGTGGATGCTTCTTCTTGGTCCTTTTGGGGGAGGAATTGTCATTCTGACCATGGGTTACATTTCAGAGGGATTCAAGTGAAAAGCCAAAATACAACATGACTGACTAGCTGCTGCATCAGAGATGCTTTGTTTCCTGCATATAAAATTTCCTATGGTATTAACGTTATCTTGGCCTAGTGGTTGTACAAAGGTAGCAGCACCACTGCTCACTTTTAAGGTAAAGAACAATCAAAATCACAGTGTGATGGCACTCCGCTCTAAATTGCCTCTGTCCTTTGCATTTTCTTGATTCCTGGTTGGAGAGCCAAGTGGTTTTACCTAAGTGCCAACTCTGCAGCTCTCTGTTGGTAGGGCCACCAGTCACTCAGCAAATGGTAAGGGTCACTCAGCATGTGTAACACCTCCATGCACTTGATGGCAGGGAAATGGCATGTTGCTGAAACTTTGGTTCTTACGGGATCCCCTAGTTACACTTGCATTGGGCTAAGAAGACGTATGGATGGACGCAGTGAGGTTGAGATCGTCTGACACATTCTCCACTGGAAAATGGTACAGCAGGCAAAAGCAAGACTGTAAATGCCTGAAGGGAGGGAAGGGGTGGGGAAATAAACCTTACTATTTATTTCCAACCCAAAATACACCCAGAATCTCCGTTAGGCACAAGTTGTGTTCTGTGCATGGGTACCATGGCACAAGCACTAATTGTGGCATGTCTTGAAATGGGCAGGCAATTTCCTGGAATATTGTGGTGAGAACAGGAGGATCTGGAAAAGGGGAATGGCTACATCTTTTCTTGAAACGCACAATAAAGCCCCAACCTTATCTTCCCTTTAAAGTCTGTATAGAGTTTGAGCATATTTTGTCCACAACCAAGGCATTTCATCAAATACCAGCTTTGAATTCAGGCTGGGGCTGGAGTTGGTTAGAGAAGCTGAATCCTAGCAAAATGGTAGGATAACACCAGGAAAACTGTCTCGAGAAATACTGAGAATACTTTTTCCTACTTCTGGAGCAATCCAGTGATGTAATACTGTGATTTTCAGAGATGGAAATGAGGCTGGATTGCAAATGATTTAGAAGCTCTTTCAGTAAAAGATTTAAACACATGCTTAAATCAAAATATGAGAACACCAGAACTACCCATATGCTTAAAAATTAAATACATATTTAAACACATTGTCGAACTAGAGTCTGAGAGTACAGTTTGAAGTTGAACTAGTCTAGATGATATCTGTTGCCAGCATTTATTAGTCTTCTAGTTTGCTTTTCTGAAGCGGCTCATGCTGGAGTCAAGTGGTGTTGGTGCCTCACAGCACTGGTTGCTTCCTCAGTGACTTTGAAAAGTATTCATCTTCTCAGGAAAATACAAGTCTTAGTTAATACTAAAAATCAGTGGAGATATGCTGGAGTCGACATCTGTACTAACATGTAGTCCATATTTGATTTCACAAGCTGCAGCCTGCTTGAGAAAGAGCTAAGAGGAACCATTCCTAGGCTGGCTAAGATGTATTTATTTCTTTCACTTATGGGCTCCCACATCCTCCTGTCAATAGCAAGGGGTGAGGAAGCAGAAAACCAAGAATGTCACCAGAATCCAGATGGCTGCAACACCAGCAAGAAGAGACAGTGTGTTTTGAGGTGCTTCTCCTTCAAGGTAGGAGGCAGAGGACATTGTAGGCCCAGCAGCATCACTGGTGGGCTCTTGGCCTCACTGAAACAAGCACAGAAAGATTAGGATTTTGCCACTTCTCTTTGGCCCTCCATGAAGGTTTTGCTGCGAGCAGGAGGACCACATTATCTCCTGGCAAACCAACAGAATTTTTTCTGGACTGAATGAGACTCACGGCTGTTCAGAGGGCCTGACACAAAGGTGGGCCCTTGGGAAGGTCGGGGCTTCCTGGACCAGTTCTCTGGAAGTCGTGGGCTTGGTGAGATTGTGCTTGTGGAGTTCTCTGCATTTTTTAGGGTGGTCAGACCTGAGTGTCTTCACACAAACACTTAAAAGCAGTGGAGTACATCCTTCTTGCAAACTTTTGTGGAAGGAAGAAGACTGGGCCCTGCAGATTCCTGTTGTTTGTGCTGCAAGCAAGCACTCTGCTGCCTACAAAACTCCATCATACTTCTAATCAAATGTTTCCATTTGCTTTAATAGATTGTACCCACCAGATTACAGATGCTCGGTGACAATCCAGCCTTCGACACACAGCCTCGTGTATCCTTGTTCCTGCCATGCACCCGGCTCTGTTTCGCTGGTGTTGGTTCTGGTTGTGCAGCCCATAGGGGTTTTGGTGGGGGGGGGGGGGGGGGGGGGGGGCGGGGGGGAGGTGGAGGGTTGGAATTAGACCGATTTGAACAACTAGGCCAAGGAACATCAAGCAGTAAAATAAAGTCCTGATGACATATTTGAACTCATGTAGACCATGGGTTATCCGATATGCAAGGTCACTGCTATTCTCTGGGAAAGTTTAAAAGAATCTGCTCCTGTTTCAAGCTTAAAGGGCCCTTCTTGGCAATGCGAGGATGCAAATTTACTTTGTCTTAAGCATAGGCAGTTCTGCATAGGTGAATGTATCAGAACATTACCAGCTGTTTGACTGTATGTTTTTTTGTTTGTTTGGTTGGTTTTGCCTTTTTTTTTTTTTTTTTTTTTTTTTTTTTTTACTTGTCTTTGGCTTTAGCAGCTCATCAAAGGCAGGCAGGGTAGAGACAGTTTTAATAAGCAGAAGGAAAAAGCAACTCCATTAAGGCTACCAAACCTATGAAATGCAGAAAGGAAAAATGTATTGTAAAAGTGAGAAACCTAAAGAGAACTCGAAAATTCCTCTTAATAATTTAAGCTGTCAGCAGCAGCTGAAATCAGGAATTATATTTCAGACATAACTTATATCAGGCATGTCTTAAAAAGAAAAAGACAAAGACAAATTGATAATGCCTGAAGAAACTGTCTCTGGGAATAAAAAAGTGCAGGATTAGGCCCTGGGAAGCCAAGCATGTTTTCCACCATTCAGTCTGTAAAAAAAAAAAAAAAAAAAAAAGATGGCCCTTGATCTTTAGCGATTCTAACAGATGGACTTGGGGAAGCAGTAGGAAAATAACATCATTAGAAGTTGTGTCTTTCTGTATTTATGAAAAGTCAAGTTGTGCCTTGCTCAAAATGTTTGAAGCTATTATATTACAAAGATTTGGTATTAATATGATTAGGTTAACAGTATTCTTCTGTAATATACATCATAAAGTCCTGTCAGAATGAAATTTAATGCTAAAAATATTGAATAATAACTTTCACAGACCATTAAGGTTTAAGACTACGGCGTGGGAGTTTATTACAAAAGGACCCTGAAATGCTGCATGCTCTTACATCAGCATATACTTTAAGGTAGAGGTATTTTACCCCCAGGCTTTATTTGCTCCAAAGTATGATGTAAGTTTTTGCTCTGACTTTGTTTACATTCATATGCAGACTGGCTTAGCTTTGCGTCAGGGTTGTTGCAGTAAAACCAGGGTCCTGTAGGAGGGGATTGACGAGGCTATTCCTATCCTTCCACAGGAATCTGAACATGCAAATGCTTGGCCACTTCATCCTCGCTGGCTGTGGCAAATGAGCAGCCCCATCTTTAATTGCCCCTTTGTTTCCTGGCCTTATGGTAGCAGCACTGTGCAGCAAGATGAATTACGGCTTTCCCTCGTTGGTGTCCTTCGTGCCACTCTGTGTACTGCTGGGAATGGGGTGATTCATACCTCACCTCAACAACTGCAAGTGTAGTGTCCTTAAGGAACCCATAGTTTATCCATCCAAAGCTGTGCTCTACTTGTACCAGTAAAATTTCCTATTGGCCTGTAGGAATATGGATTCAAAACCATTTATTTGAGTCTCTGTAGGTATCTAGGTTTAAGGAAGGATCCTCTTATCTTGCAATTATCTCCTCAGGGTGATCATATCTCAGTGTGATTCTGTAGATGCCCATAAAGGTACTTCAGAGCAGGGAAATATTCAGTGTGTGTACTCAGTGAAGTTAGATTGATAGCAAAATGGGCCCTGGAGTCTTTGGTGGGAACGTCTATCACTCTCCATCGATAAAAAGTTTATGATTAATTACCAGTTTGATTATATTACCCTCCAATTAAGCTTGTAAGTGCCAAAGAACGGGGACTTTGGTGTGGTTTTCCCTTGTTATCTCATGACCATGCCTCTGCCGGTGTGATGTTTATAGATACTTTATCTGCTTAGGTCCATAACTTGTAGCCTGTACTGAATGTAAAAAGTCTTGCATTGATCTCCCCTTGCTACAGTTGCTTGCAACGGGGACTTAAGGTCATATTCTTCTTAGCTGGTGCCTCCACAGTTGGAACCATTTTAATGATAAGCAAAAATGTAGGTGAAAATGTGTCGGTTTCATTTGTATCACAAAGTTACCTTCCTTTACCTTGGATTCATTCCTCAGCTTTCCCTGGAGCTCTCAGGGACCCAGACAGACATCCATGGGATCTTCTTCCACAGAAAACTGCTGATGCTAACCACTGACCTACAGCACAGACAGCTGCCACCTGTGGTTTCATCCCAAGCCACAGGAGCCAGTTCCATCTCTGGTGGGAAGCAGCCTGGGCTGGCCAAGGGCCAGAAGGAAAAAGGAGAATTTTATTTCTGAGCATAGCATCTGAGAGAAGAAAACATCACACATCTCAGCATGGCTTCCCAGAGAAACAGAGGCTGCTGACGATGCCTGGCAGGCTGAAGGGCTTTCACTGATGGGCCCCCACAGGCCTTGGATCTGCTCTGATGTTTAGCTATTTTAACCATGTAAAGCATTCGAAAACACTTTTTTTCCTATCCTAGCATTTCTGATGCTTTTCACTGGATCACACCTGTGGCTTCGGTACTAAGCAGCCCTTTTGATGGCTGTGGGAGAGCTCCCAAAGATCTCTCTCATTCCCATGGTACAGCCAGCATGAAGGGAAACAGTCCTGACCAAGAGCCCCGCTGCCCCCATGCACACAGCTCCTGCACCAAGAAGTGAACATTCAAGTGCAATGCCTGGAATTTGTAAGGAGGGAGCTCAACACTCCTCAACCCAGCAGCCAAAAGCATCCTCTGGCTGTAGGTGAGGTACTGCCACATGCAAGACTTAAAGCTGATCTCTCTCCAGTGGTCCCAGCTGTGTTACACCGGTTGGTGCCATCACCAGTGCCCTGCTCTCCCCATGTGGTTTAGCCAGGTTGCTCCAGATCATCATGTCCCTCCAGGGACCATGCGCTGTAGGACTGGATGTTGAGGCAGCTGTTCTTCATGTACCTGAGTCCTACACTGGATCCAGCCCTTTGTAACTCAGATGCTACAGCAGTGAGTGCATCAGTGCCTAAACTCAGCTAAAATCTGACTCTTAGCCACTTTTGCAAGTCATTTGCAGTTTGGCAAGAACCAGCCCAAAACAGAAGAGACTGAGGTCTTTGATGCTATCAGTCTGGAGATAAGGAGGAAGCTTCCAGACCAGCTGTTGGCTTTCATTGCATGCCTGGTAGCCAGCCCATAAGGCATCTCAAAATGCCCTCAGGAAATCACTTTGTAAAAGTGTTAGCTATAGGGCTGTGGAGGTGGCTAGGGAGGAGGCTGCAGGTCTGTTGCACCGCTTTGGGGTGGAGTTCAGGGCTTGGCCTCTGGCAGCAGCTGCCCCCAGAGTTGAGTTGCCCAGCCCAGGGGTGCTGGCTGGAAACACCGCTCAGACAGGGTGCTGGTGCTCCAGAGTATCTCCTTGCCAGGAAAGCCAGATCCTGAATTCTGGCTGGATCTTCTTCCCTGCTCTTCCAACAAGGGAAGCTGGCACAGTTAATAAGCTCTTAATAACCAACTTGCCTCTTTTTTGGAAGCCCTCTCTACCCCTCTCTTTGGGCAGGCTGAGCCCACCCAGCTCAGGGTGCTGGCCTCATGGTGGTTGTCTCACCCACCTGGCTCACCTGGGTGTTTCAGAGAGAGATGGTATTGCAGGCAGGGATGCAACTTCAGACTAGTTTAAATAATATCATGTAATAACAGTAATGATAGCAATAATAATATCTGATGCTATAGATGAGAAAAAAAAATAAAACTATTGTCTTAAAACATACCTGACAAGTATTACAACACAGCGTTGCATTCTTAGAAGAGGGAGGATGGAAATTACTTCAGTCATTTTCCTTGGTGAGCCTTGTCTCGGCCGCAGGTTAAATCAAGGAGACAGGGAATCCATCTGCATGAGAAATGCGGCAGGGACCATCAGCACAGGCTGATAGGAGTTCAGGCCCCCTCCCATGCAGCCCATACAACACAATAGCACTATCAGCTGGTAGGAGGTTATATAGCCTAGTACATCAGGCTCAGCTGAGCATCTTTGCAATGGTTTCCCACATCACTTAGCAGCTTGTTTAATGCACCATGATTAACCCGTGGGGTCTGCAAGAATTTCTTACAATCAGTGGAAATAAAACAAGCAACCTAAAGCACCACAGTAGAAAACAAACATAGTGATGGACAGTAAGCGTGTATTTGTTGCCTCTCCTGAAAAAGGCCACAACTGCCGGGATTCCTAAGCATTGCAAATTCATTGCTAATGTTTTTGTCCGAGTCCTTTCAGCAGAGTATTGTAATCAGTTTTAGGAGAAGCAGAGAAGCAGCAGAAATCTTGATTATTGCAGTCCTGTTGTATGTCTAATGAAACTCTGCAAAGCCACATTTTTTTTCCTCAGCATGCACAAAATAATCAGTTATCTCTGTCTGATTCTCAGAAAGAAAAAAAAAAAGACTTGATCATGAACTGATCTAGCGAGATCTTTTACTTGAGTCTTTCATAAAATATGACAGTTGACAAATGTCTTATCTGGTATGCCAACTTGGCATTACATTCAGAGAAAGATCGCCTGTTTTATTGTGCCTTTCACCTCCTTTTCACCATGCACCTTTGCTTTTTAATGCTTTGCAGAGTTCTGCAGCTGGTAATGGATTTGCCAACCATGCAAGCTAGAAAGTTTCTCTCCCTGTTATCAAGATCAATGGCTTCCTCTCGTAATTGCAAAACACTTTCTTTATCATGAAAATTTTTAATTTCCATAAATAGCCTTCCCAAAGGCTAAGTAAGTGCTTAACATAAATAAAAACAAAGGGGGAGGAAACACAAAGAAAATGAATAACTCAAAGGCAAAGTCATACCAAAGCCTGGATTGTGTTTCAGGAGGAGAATTTAGGAGGCACTGAGCACCTCAGAGATCTGCTAGCACTGATAAAGCTCAGCATGAAGGTGCGAAAGCATCCTACAAGCACACTGAAAACAGCCTCTGTCAGCTTTCCTTCTCGGGCCAAATTGTGACAAAGTCCAAAGCTGATTCGACGCAGCACCAAGCCACAAAACTGCAGTCGCAGAGACGAAGGAAGGAAGAGCTGGCAGATGAAAATGACAGATATCAGAAGTGCATCTGAGGTGAGATTTCTAGTTACTTAAACGCTGTTAGATTAAATGTTGCCTTTCCATAATTTAACTCCCCCAAACCCAAAATATTATCCGACAAGTTATGCCACAGAGACCTGACGCACGGTACGTCAGCAGTGATGTAATATTGACAGACAAATACAGCTATTGTATTCGTGAACGTTCGCTTTACAAAGCAAAGGACATTGTAGCAGAATATACCTAATGCTAGGCTGCAATGCGATCATTGTCCTGGGTGAATTGAGAACACAAACAAAAATAGATTAGCTAACAACTAAATTGTATTTAACTTGCTTGACAGGGCTAGCTCAATAATGAGTCATTTTCAGATCTAATATCTCCACCAGCTCTAGAGTTTTGGGTAATTGTCACTGCTGAGAGAAAAAGTTCAAACAGTCTGAAGGCTGAAGAAGCAAAGGAGCATTAGCATGCCTAATGTGGGAGCACTGGCATTACTCTGTCTGATCCCAGCAGATGCAATATACCAATTAGCTGCATACTTCCTTGAGCCATCAAGCTGGGGGCTCCGCCGCCTGGGGCCATTGCAGATTGCAGAGGGCTCTGGGGAGGGCAGAGGGGTTTTTCCAGGCAGAATTGCGGCTGAGGGCCCGACATGTCTCCCATGTAAGCTGCTGGCCACCGCGTCCCTCTCCTCCACAAATGAGGGCGAGAAGATCCATGGCCTGGCTGACCCCAGCAGGCTGCTGCATGGGCACAGAAGCCATGGGGCAAGCCAAAGGCTATGTGCTTAAATGGGGAGGAGGAAACACTGGGCCAGCTTTTTTTGGGATTAGCAGCACCCTGTGCTTCTGGTGGAGAGTAACTATCTGTGTGAAAGCAGCTGTCACGTTAACTTTAAGTAATAAAAGTTTGCACGGAGGTCAGTCAGGTTCCAGGTGGAAACGTGCAAGGGAAGACAAATATTCGCAACAAGAATGGGCATGAATGGGATTGGGCTTGATGCTGATCAAGTTTACATCTGTTTGCAGGCCCAGCCCAAAGCCTGTGAAAGCCATCTGGCTGGCGGGGTAGCTCAGCCAAAGTCAGTGGGGTGGCACCGCCAGCCCGTATGGGTGAGATCAAGCCCCAGATCGCTATCTTGTTGTGGTTTTCCTTTTTGCACATAGCAGGGAGGCAGCGAAAGGGCCATTGATTTGCAAAACACCCTTGGGTCCAGCAGGAGGCTGCGTGCCTGAGGACCACTGGCAGGATGTGGCCCATGGAGCCACGTCAGGTGGGGATTCCTGCCTGGAGGTGGGCGCTGCGCCTCCTTGGCTTGGCTGCCAGAGGGAATCAGGCAGTAAAACGAGAGAAAAAGCTTTCAGCTCATTCTCTGAGGAGATGTTAACGGGTGGCAGCTATCATGCACCACCTCGGCCTCCGTTCTTTCATCAGAACCAATTCCCTGGTCTTTCTTTGTGTGCATGATGATGCCTTCGTGAAAAGCAAGCCTATGGAAATACTGAATACCAGGAGGTCAGAAGAAGCGAAGGATGCAAAACTGCAGTTTTCCCATGGCCTGAAAATGACTCCCTCCCTGGCTTAGGGCAGCCACAGGTATGCTGTTAATTTTAAGTCCTCTTGCCAGAAGGCTATAAAACGTCTTTTCATCTTATGTTACATAAGTATCCAACAAATAAGAAGACTGTTATTACAAAGGCAACCACACTGAAAAAAGGTTTCATTTACTCTGAAAACCTGCATTAAAGACTTCTGATGTCTCTATGTAATGTTTAGGTTGCTGAACACTGTTGGAGAGGAGAATTCATTGAATTCCTTTTGAAAAAGAAAAAGTGACTTTGATGCTACACCAAACTGGGATGCTACGATGAACCACGTGATTCATCTTCAGTTAAACATTGCAATATGGTACCCTCAAAGATGAGCTTCTGTAATCTTCCAGCACACCAGACAGCTTTCTGGAAAACTATGCTAACATATAACAGTAACTAGCAATTAAGCATTTTGGTAATCATTCTGAACTAAAGAGAAAATACCCCCGTAGGTCACAGAACTGATAACTGAGGTGCACTCAGCATGCCTCTCAGTAATTAAGGTGTTCTTCCTGAAGTGGTTGAGTTGTACTGTGTCCTTCTACATCCTCACAGGCTGAGAGGCATCAGGTATATTTAAAATATGCTCTAAGTCAGTTAGCTTTCAGGCAGTAAGGAATCCTCACCTGCTCATTTCACAGGGGAAAAAAAATAGAAAGAAAAAGAAAAACAATAGAAAACAGCACGTACGTGTTGACATCCTGCTTGTGAACCAATATTGTCACAAGCAACAGGCTGGGAAAGAGCAGACCAATCGATGAACATGAACTGACTTACACTATGCTAAAATTAGGTACAATATCCTGACTGAAGTTATTACAATTAACTAAATAAATACACATTCCCAGTTAATTATTTCTGTAATACCCTTGTGCCTAGAGGCCACACTGAGACTGAGAGCCAGCCACACTAGGCACTGTACATACATCCAGCGAAGGTACAGCCCGGTCTTGCACAGCTTGCTTTTCATATAGAGGAAAGAAACAAAGGACCAGAGACAGAAATCATTCTTTGTTATCCCCGTGTCATAGAAACAGACCCAGAGAAATTTCATGATCTTGCCCAACACTGTGTAAGAATTATTTGGCAGGACTCAGGAGCAAATAGAGAACATCAATATCCACCTAACCAGACTGTCTGCCCAAACACTGTTTTTACCAGAAGACTTCTCATGCATGGGGCAGCTCTGGACTCTTGTTTCTCTACATTGCATTCATTCTTTTTCAAACACAGCACAGCATGTCATAGCTAGAGCTTTTGCTTTCTCCTGGCTGTTGTTGGGCCTGTGTCCCATCTATCTCACCCGTGTGAAACTTGCAGATATTCTGTAATGATGAACGATGCTTCACTAGCAAAAATTCAAGACCTCAAGCACACAAACCTATGAGCATACAGTTTCCGTTGGCTACTTACAGTTGTCTGAGTTCATGTACGTCCTTTCTCAAATCTTGAGACACGTTTTGCCTCCTTTTTATGCTTATGAAAATCAGCTACATCGAGAAAACTTTTAAAATGTAATGGCAAGCGGAGCACATGTGTCTTGTCTTGTACATCCAGAGGTAGCCCATTCTTTTAGGTCAAAACAACTGACTTTTATAGCCTCATGTCTTGGAAATAAGCCTCAAAAACTTACTTTTCTAGCCAATACTTTGTCTGCAAAAGCTAAGCTACCTTTGTCACGTGATAAGCCTTTCCTGATTAGTTTCTACCACATTAGGTTCTTGCACATATCAAATACGAAATCATCAAAGCAGATATGGTGTTGCTTGCTGACTCCTTCTGTCTGCTAAAAAAAGGCTTGCACAGAAATACAGCTTGGCCAGTGTGTGGTGACTTGACTCTGTTTTTAGAGACCTCCTGCAGTGACATCTTCCAGCGCTGCAGATCTAAGGCCAGGGCACTTGCTTTGGCCTTTCCCTCTCCATCTTCTGCCAACCTCAGTTCTTTCAAAATCAATGATAAAATGCTGCTGGCTTTACGGTCACCTGGAATTTCATCCTAGAGCTCCAGAGAAGCAGTGCAGTGAGGTAACTAGTGGCTGGTTCTCAAATTTTCTTTTCCCCATCTCTGAAGAAAGCAAATCTCATAAGAAAGCTGAAAATCATGAAGTTTTAAAAGTACTGTTCCTACGTCTTTACAAAACAACCACAAAGTTTTCTTCCAGACATTGACAGATTCATTCTGTAGTCAATCAATTATCCTTGTGGATTTGAG